TATATATATATGTATGTGTGTGTGTGTGTGTGTATATATATATGTATATACATATATATATACATATATATACACATATATATATATGTGTATATATATATATATATATATATATTTTATTTTTATTTTTTTTGAGATGGAGTCTTGTGCTGTTGCCCAGACTGGAGTGCAGTGTCACACAATCTCAGCTCACTGCAACCTCTGCCTCCTGAGTTCAAGCAATTCTCCTGCCTCAGTCTTCTGAGTAGTTGGGACTGCAGGCGTCCACCACCATATCCGGCTAATTTTTGTATTTTTAGTACAGACATGGTTTCACCATGTTGGCCAGGCTGGTCTCAAACTCCTGACCTCAAGTAATCCACCTGCCTTGGCCTCCCAAGGTGCTGGAATTAGAGACCTGGACCACTGTGCCCAGCCTTGTTCTTGTTTTGAGAGAGATTTTTGATAATTCCAGATTATCATTATTTCCTCTTAGCTCTTTGAAGAAATTTCACCCCTGTGACTTATTTGCTCTGTGATGTTGCTCAAGTGTTTTAGAGATAATGTAGTCATCTTATGGGTGATAAGGAGGATCAAATATATATAAAGCACTTACTCATGTTTCTAACACATATTTATCACTGTGTAAATAAATAACCTTATTTTTCGTTTTTCCCACTTCTTTTTTTCTTATAATTCTTATTATTGCCAGTGTTGCTCAGCAATTCACTGAAATGCATCTAAGTAAAACTTTTATTTATACCACGGTTTATTCTGTTTGGTATACATTTTTCTGTCCAAATAGGTGGTTCTGGGTCTCAAATTTTCTAGCTTCTGTACATTCTTAACCCTTAAATCTTTTAATGTTGCATCTATCTCTTTATTTCTAGTCTCCTCTGGAGTTTTGGTTAGGAAAATATACTTTTTAATTGTATCCTTTACATTTTTAAACATCTGTACTTTGTTCAGTACCTCATCTGTCTCTAGTTGAGATTTTTTTTTTCAAAATTGTACTTTATTTATTTTTATTTTTTATTTCCATACGTTTTTGGGGACCAGGTGGCGTTTGGTAACATGAATGAGGTCTTTAGTGGTTTCTGAAGTTTTGGTGCACCCATCACCCAAGCAGTTACACTATACCCAATTTGTAGTCTTATGCCCTTCATCCCACTTCCACCCTTTTCTCCAAGTCTCCAAAGTCCATTGTATCATTCTTATGCCTTTGCAGCTTCGTAGCTTAACTCCCACCTATGAGTTCGAACATATGTTTGTTTATTTCGTTTTTTTAAGATTTATTTTCAATTAATTTACGCTGAATTTTGCTGTTTCTCATATGCTAATTAACCCATCAATTAATTTCTTAATTTCAACAATTTGATTTTTAAAAATTTCTAAATGTGTTTTTTCCTCAGATTTGTGATTCATGTTATAAGCTTATGTGGTTTGATCTTTTTATTACATCTGTTATTTCCTTATAGACTTATAGTTATATTTTATACCCTTTAATTATAACAACGGGTGTCCTTCAGGGTATATGTATTTGTTAATTTTAATAGGTCAACCTTGCTTATGGCTTCTTATTTCCTATTATGTGTTTGAGAATATTTTTGTCAGCTCATACTTGGTTGAATGTTATTTGTGGGATGCTGAGTAGCTAATTTCAGGTAACTTGGGCTGTATACCAACAGCCTGGATCCACATTATTAGTCAGCTCAGGGTGCCATAACAAAGTAACATAGACTGGGTAGCTCAAATAACAGAAATTAATTTCTCACCATCCTGCAGGCTAGAAGTCTAAGATCAGAGTGCCAGCTGATCAGGTTCTGGTGAGGGGCCCATTTCTTGGCTTGTAAATGGCTGCCTCCTTACTGTGTCCTCACAATGCAGGGAGAGAGTTACTTCCAGTTTCTTCCTCTTACTATGAAGACATTAATCCCATTAGTTCCCATGCTCATGACCCTGTCTAAAGCTAGTTATTTGCCAGAGACCCTACTTCCAAATACTACCTCATTGGAATTAGGGTATCAACATATGGATCTGGAGAAGAGGTGGCACAATCAGTCTGTGGTGTTCAATTTTGCTCTTTTCGAGAGTTTTGGTTCCTTCTATTTGTGTAGTGCCTAGGGAAACTCTGATCTTTTGCATCTCTTAAAGCTTACCTTTTGGATTTCAGTGTACCATTGTTTTTCTCTCAGCCCTCAGAAATAGCCTTTATTTTTTCATGAACCAAAGGTATACAGTTTTCTATATTTCAAGCTATGTCTTTTGAAAGGCAAAATCATTTCCAAAGAATATTCAGAAATTTTTATGTGATATATTTTGGATTTAGTATATGATCTCTAACCTGAATATATTGAAAACTTATGGGAATATTGTTTATTGTTGATTAAATATCACTTATGGTACTCACAAAGAATTAATACTTCATTCTAGTTGTAATTATTCCAGTGAGATTTTTTTTTTCCTGGCACATAGTTTAAAGCATGAAAGAGGCATATAAAACTTATATGAGAGAGTTTTTCAGCCATAGGCAGAAACATACCACAATAATTTTTATTTTGTGCCAAGGATTTTGGACCATAAAACATTATACACATTGGAAAGATAGATCTGAAAAAGAGACATGCTTAATACTTTTTAATTTTTTATTGGCATGTTTTTAGATAAGTGTATCAATCTTTAATATTAAAAACTAAAGTGGTGAATGACAAATGTGCAACCAAGCAGTTGTGGCCAACGCAGTTTTTGCTGTCTATCTATTGATGAAGGGACTAGCTGCCATTTGGCGATTTTTCAGCCAGTCAATTTGAAAAATAAATTGGACATTCTTTTCTAACTTAAATGAGAATATCCTCACTATATAATCTGCCTTCTCTCAAGAAACTTCAAGCTCTTCCTCTCTAATGGTGGCCGTTTATCCACTGCATCTAAAAATTGCTTTTCCCTCTTGATGAAAAATGCTCAAACCTATGAGCAAGAAAACAAAATATTTTTTTGATCTTAGTATTCCCTCTGTTAAAGATGCCAGGAACTTTTTCTTCATTCATGCATGCATTTATATATTTACTTACTCTAAAGCATTTACTAAGCACTTTAATTGGTCAGTCATAAGGCTTGATGCTGTAGAAACAGAGATGAAACACAGTTATCTATCATAAAACAGTCTGGCAGGGAGGGGGATAAATAAGTGGTTTATTATAATTTGGTGGCAGAAAGTACCTAAGGGAACACATTTAAGAAGCATGTATTGCAGAAGGATGTCTTTCTTTCTTTCCTTTGTTCCTCCTCTCCTTCCCCTTCCCCATCCCCTTTCCCTTTTTCTTCCCCTTCCCTTTCCTGACTGAGTCTGACTCAGAACCCGGGCACTCTCAGCTCACTGCAACCTCCGCCTCCCAGGTTCAAGCAATCCTCCTGCCTCCTCAGCCTCCCGAGTAACTGGGATTACAAGCACCCCCTGCCAGCATGCCCGGCTAATTTTTGTATTTTTAGTAGAGATAGGGTTTCACCATGTTGTCCAGGGTGGTCTCAAACTCCTGACCTTGTGATCTACCCACCTCGGCCCCCCAAACTGCTGGGATTACAGGCAAGAGCCACTGCGCCTGAGCCCGTCACCTACCCATTTCATAACTAGCTTTTGTGTCTACCACTTGAAAGCCACTGCTTTAAGATCTACTAATTACCTAAATGCAAAATTGAATGAGTTATGCTCAACCACCCAGAACTTAAAAATCTTTTTTATCTCTCATGATCTAATTCAAAGACACCTCATTCCGGATTCACTTCTTCCTTCATCCAAACTGCACCCTTGAAGCAGTTAATTAATCTAAACATAAGCAATGCTGACTGTTTCATACTGTATTATGTTTTTAAAATTGATTTAGCCCATGTCTAAATTTTTGTTGTTCTGAGGCCAGATTATCCACAGAGCCTAATATATACAACGCTAAACCAAACACGTGCTAACAAAAGCACTAATTTAGTGGATTAATCTAGAAAAATGTAGAAGAATTAATCTAGAAACTGCACTGCAGCAATTTCTCCCTTCCAATTACTAAGCAATTCAAGGTAGCAGTCATGTAGACTCAGATAAGGTAATAATATTTAGTCATTTAGATATGGCACTACGAGTAAAAATAATTCAGATACATATACATACACGCAAATTACTCAGAATGCAGTATTCATAAAAATTATGTTACTTTTAAAACAAGTTATCTTTTTGTATTTTTGCAAATAGTGGCAACAAACTGGCTACATCAAGTGGTGACACTACAGTTAAATTATGGGATCTATGTAAAGGCAACTGCATTTTGACGTTCGAAGGACATGGCCATGCAGTATGGTCCTGCACGTGGCACTCCTGTGGCGATTTTGTGGCCTCCTCCTCGCTGGATAAAACTAGTAAAATCTGGGATGTTAATAGGTAAGAAGTACTTTAAACATTACTAATCCTCTATGTTGATACATATACATGGGTAAAGTTGTTTTTTTTTTTTTTTTTCTCAAAGTAACCCCTGGGAAACATTAAAAGAAACTGTTAGTTGATAAGATTATAGAGAGCCACTTAAATGATCTTTGTGAAATCCATTTAGAACTCCATTAATCTTTGTTGATATAATAATTTCTTTCTAAATGTAAGTATCAAGATCAAGCGTGTGTAATAAGATTAGAATTGCTTCATCGAAAAGCTGTTTGTTTTAAGCAAGACAGAAACAAATACTTATTTTAAAGAGTTAGATTTTTTAGTTCTGCTGTCCACGGACTTGTTATCAGTCTGTACTATTGAATTTAATAGGTTAATGAACATAAATATAACATAAATAATTACTTGCTTTATGTTTAATTTGTTACGTCATGATAGTCTTGATTAAATATTTCTTGTTAATTCACAAATTGTAGGAAATAGCACACTATATTTTATGTAAAGTCCTATACATATCACATGAATGTAGAAGTTTGATGTTTTGATTTTAATTCAGGATAGACAAATTCATTCTGTTTAAAATATTGAAATTACTATCGCCCATATATTTTTGGATGTTCATTACATTCTGTTAGGTTTGCAAATATTATACAAAGAAGTAAATTTAGCTACCATCAAATATACTAATAGCTTCAGCTAAGGGGTTGTATATCATCCCTCAGACTTTCTCAGCAGTCTGTGGTCCCAGCTCTGCAAGGGCCTCCATCCAAGCAGAGAAACGCCCACAGCAGCAGAGAAGTGCCCTTTTCTCAGAGTGCTGAGGTTCAGTTTTGAAGGCCTCCCTCTTCAAGGGTCTAAGTTTTAATAATTCTACCTTATTCCCTGTGTTCGCTCAGTCCTAGGGGTGGTAGCTCTTCCTTGAAGTGGTTATCTCCATGATACTTTAGTGTTCTCCTTTCCCTTCTTCAGCAACTTTATTCAGTGTTAACCATCCTGTATGTGAAATTATTAACGTTACAATGATAGGTGCAAGTTCCATTCCCTGACTAGTCCTTGAAAGATCTGGGGCATTCGTGGATAAGTAGCTTAATCCACCTGAGTTATAAAGCTATCCTCAAATAAAATTAAGCACACTCCATAGGAGAAAATATGACTATAAATAATATATTTAGACCTATTTCTATCTGAAATAGTGACAATTTCAGATAAGTTTTCATTCTCAGATGGGTACTTTTTCTTTATCTGGAATATCCAATCATGTATAATTCTTAATTTATTATATTTCTGTAATATGTGACCAGATTTCATAAATAGTTATTATAATATATTAATGGAATTTCAACACTAGTATTTAATTTGAATTTTGTTATCACTTTAGACTTGGTTGAGGATTCTAATAGAAAATGGTGATCTATTCTGAAAAATAATATGTCTTTAGAACTCTTAACTACCCAGGCTGTTCAAAAGCAAACTATGGTTAAAAAATGAGTACTCAGTAGTCTCAGCCCTGCTTGTAATGATTTCAAACACTTTGACTTGACAACTTTTCTTTATGACCCTGATATCTAAATACTGACTTCCCATTGATGCCCAATACATCTTGATATAACAGATCAAAATTGCTTCTGATTGATGCCAAAATTCTTTAAACTTCAAGTTTCCAATCACTGTCAAGAGCTCACTTTCATCATCAAGGACAAAGAAATTGTACTAATTTTGAAGTTGAGGTAGTGGACAAATATTTGCAAATAAGGTAGATACTGATTGTTTCTATAGTGGCTATTGATATGTCTTTCAGAGTCTCAGAGTACCAAGCTCCAATTTATAATTACTCTCAGATCAATACTGTGTAGATAAATCTAAAACTAGTGTCTTCCTTCAAAATATCATAGGTTATGGTTATTTGAACTGGCTTAGTGACTTAAGGCAAGAGGTTGTCTTGATTACATGGATGGTGGTGGAGTTATACAATGCTATGTCATATATTCTTTGATTGATACTGCATAGTTTTGTTTGTTTGTTTGTTTTTGGAGACTGAGTCTTGCTCTTTTGCCCAGGCTAGAGTACAGGGCTTAATCTCAGCTCACTGCAACCTCCATCTCCTGGATTCAAGTAATTCTCCTGCCTCAGCCTTCCATGTAGCTGGGACTGCAGGCACGTGCCACCACATCCTGCTAACTTTTGTATTTTTAGCGTAGACAGGGTTTCACCATGTTGACCAGGCTGGTCTCAAACTCCTGACCTCAGGTGATCTGCCTGCCTCGGCCTCCAAAAGTGCTGGGATTACAGGTGTGACCCACCACACCTGGCCATGCTGCACAGTTCTTAATAAATAACAAATTTATATTGGTAGAAAGTATTAGTCACCAGAGAAGAAAGGGTTTAGAGTAACATCTTCTCCTTTCCCACCCATCCTTTTCTTTAAACTTCTGGCTCTGTCTTGAATATCCTTTGATTGATGTTCTATCCCTAGCCCTGCAACTGTTCCTGAAATGGTTGGTCCTTCATAAGACTATCCATTTAACTCCTCACCAAAAAGTTGAATCACTGTCCAGCATAAACAATGTAAAATAATCAGATCAAGATTCATATTTACTGCGTGCTAATCAGAATCTGTGAACAATTGTCTGACACTCGATCTGAATAAGTCCATACTCTACAAGGTTTCTCTGGATAATTAACAGTAGCATTTTGATTATCTTTTGTATAATCAGGTATATAAATTGTTAGGTATTTCACTTAGTGGTCGTTTGAACACACACACACACACACACACACACACACACACACACACACACACCAGTGTAATCCAAACAGAGAGTGCTTGGCACATGGTGGTTTGGTTACATAAATGAATGGAGTAAGTCAGTAAGTAAATATTGCAAAAATGCTCTAAATATACTCCCTGCCCCATCCACATTCAACAAACTATAATACAATTATGCTGTCTTATCCTACATGAATCAATAAAATGATGAAAATGGGGTAGAAAAATCAGAAAATATCTCAGCTATAAAAAATAATTTGTGTTTCTTTAGAGGCATTTGTGCATAACATTAATCAATAAGTATTCAAGAAATGACTTAACAGTGTTAGACTTTGTTATAGACCTATGACAGTTTTCATACTCAACCACTGCCCTCAATGAGGTTACAAGTAATTTTAAAATACAGCAATTTTGAAGCAATAAGGGAATATGCAATGCAACTGCCATTTATATACATAATATCAGATCAGGTATTCTAGTTGACTGCTGGCTGCTCTTCTTCCAAGGTAGCTGGATATTTGGATGAGCAGTTAATATCACACTGTTACTCTGATATTTGGAAGGCATACTGTGTGCCTACTTAGCTTTTAGCTTTAAGGAAAAGGGGTTGGAAACAGCCAAATTATTACTGAATGTAGCTATTCCAGCTGCTTTAACAAGGTGTTACACAGGCAAGAATTGGGTGGTTTGTACCAAGGATAGTAGGAAACAGAGGGACTTGTAAAATTCACATGGTTAGCCTCACAGGTTTATTTATTTGCTAAAGATCCAACAAATATGCATTGACCACTTGTTTTGTCCTATGCCTTATTCTAGTTACTAAGCTATAGCAGTGAGTAAAATACACAAAAACTTCTGACCTCATGTTGATGGCATTCTTTTGGGAGGCATAAAATAAGCCAAATGGAAAATGACAATAATTAATATTTACATATAATATTTAAAGATGACAAATTTTGTAGAAAAAAATAGAAAAAATAATGAATAATCACATATAATATGGAGAGATGACAAATTTTGCAGAGAAAAATATAGAGCACAGAAGATGAAAAGGAATAGCAGGCATTGAAAAGATTGCAATTTTAAACAGGAAGGTAGAGAAAATTCTTGTTATAAAGTTGACATTTGGATAACCTGAATAAGGTGAAGCAGCAAGCCAAGCAGATATTTGAGAGGAGAATATTCGAAGCTCTTCTGATCAGGAAGCTTTCCTATGATGGTAGCAAGACCCATGTGACTGCTGAAGAGCCAAGGGGCCAGCATGATTGGAATAAAGTGAGCAGATGAGTGAATGGTAGGGGTAAGGCAGTTAAATGAGTATGTACATAAAACATAGGGCCTTATAACCCCTGTCAATTACTTTGACCTTTATTCTCAATGAAATGGGAAACGATTAGAGGGTTTTGAGCAGAAGAGTCTCAATCTTTTTGTAGGCTAATAAGACGACTCTGGTTACTGTTTTGAGATGAGATAGTGGCAGAGGAGGGGTGGAAGCTTAAAAGCAGGTACAAGCAGAAAGATCAATTGGGGAACAGTTGTAACAATCCAGGTCAAAGATGGAGAAGGTTTCAGCCATGATGAGAATAGTGAAGGTAATAAAGATTGTATTCTGGATAGATTTGAAAAATAAAAACAGGAGTTTCTGAAACACTGGGAATTGTGAGAGAGAGAAAACAAATGACCTGTTACATTTTCACAAACCTGATAGGCAAAAGGCTCATTCTTGTTACACTGGAATGCTGATACAAACATTATGAAAGGCTTTTCCAACCAAGTGTATCAACTCGTGATCCAGAAAGCATGATAGAATGAGGAATACCTTCTTATTGTTCATGTAACATTTCCATTCAAGAAAATGGAATGTTTCCCTTCTGCTTACTTCCTGGCATCATTTCCTTTTTAATTTAATAATTCTGTAGCCAGTCATAACCCCTGTGCTGGATGACTGAAACAGAAGTCTGTTTGTAAAGAAAACAGATAAGTTAAGGAGGAAATGTGAACTATTGAGATTGTTATGATGAATTATCTTCTGTTAATGATATATACTATTATTTTGGAGGGAAAGGCAAATAATGAACGAAAGTGAACTCTAAAATTACAGAAATTTTCTTATGACAAAACCAATAATAATAAGATAGCCCCAAACTAGTAATACAATGAAGTTTAGTATTTATAATGCAAAATGTTGCATCAATGTATTTTACATTCTTTATGTTTCATTTGCCAAGTTGGC